CCCCCCCTGCGTCACGGGACGCCCGCCGTAAAGGGACAAAACACAGGTACTACGGTAGTCCAGGGCTCACGGTCTGCCAAAAGGATGTTTGTAAAATCTCCTCTGCCCCATTACCCCATCGACCCCTTCACTTTAGGGAGGTAAACCATAATTACAAGAGTTAAAGTACGAGCGACGTCTTGAAGCAAGTGACTTAGTGCTTGCAAACTCAATGATTCAGGATGAAATAGGAAATTAATTGATTTTATTCACCCAACTCCACGATTTCCAAACGACAATATCCTGACATGCAATTGGTACAACAAATATTGTGATATCAAGGGGCCAGAGTCATATCATTACTGAGCGGTCATCCACGTCGTTCACCGCAGTGGGAATGAAGTCTTCGCATACTTGATCTTCTGAAGCAAGATCAGGACCATTCTCAATCTCTACTTGTGCATTTTGCTCTTGCTGACGCAGCCATTCCCATGGCCCAACAGGTTTTGTGGGATATATACAACGCCTGCCCATATCCGGATCATCATTCACACCACTTGCCCGTTACAGCCGATATTCATATTCTGAGTGCAGATATGTACGGCTGAATATAAGGACGATTGGCTTAAAATCGCGCACTGCCTCTCTTAAACCTGCGCAGCGCCCTCTGTGAGTACAGCACTTCATGATTCACATTTTTTGGGAGGCAGGATATGTACACAACCTGTTGCAGTATGTGTGGACATGGATTGATTTTGATTGGAATCCCAGACCTAAGAAAGACTATCTCATACAGCCTGTCTGTCTTCAGCAGACTAGCAGATAGCAGTGGAATCTATATAATAGACCAGCCTCCATCAGCAATGACAGTGTCGTCAGTCTGCCAACCCCAATGACGATCAATCTGCATCCAGAACAGTAACATGTTTCGGTACTTCTGGAATTCCTGATGGTTATGCACATATTGGTCGCCGCGAAGTTGTGACATCCTCTTTTGCCTAAGATGTGTGCTGTTAGCATGTGCGTACGTTACTACTAAGTAAGTGACTGGCCTTACCACTCATTGAGATACTTGTAGGCTCGGACAGCCTTGCTGAGAGCATCATGTTCCCAAGACCCAGTATTCTGCGGAACAACTTGACATTCGTCGAGTCGATGGGGCATGTAATGACGGCAGAGTTGACAGGGAGTATTGCCATTGCAGTTGATATTGCTTAGTGCTTCTCGATGTGCAGGCGCACCAGGGGGAACATTGACTATGTAGCGGGCTCGCTGAGAGCCAATAGAGATGCCACTCATGTCGATACCTTGGCAGATACGGGCGCAACATGGGATGCATGGGAGAGTCTGAAGCTCAGGACGCGAAGAGACATTGCCTTGCTACAAAGAAGCGTTGTAGTTAGCCGCAATAATCTGTGTATGCTCAATAGGGGTAGACTTACAAGGACGACAGAATTGACCCAGTTGCGCCTGAAGTTGCCGTTGACATGTGGATCACGCTGCCTCCACATTGCGAGATGTCGAGCAAGCTCATTCTCGAGCTCGGTTGCATTCATAGTTGCAAAACTAGAAGCATTATTGCCAGCCATGACTTTTTTTCAGCTTGTGTGTGTGTGTGTG